ATGCGATGTTATATAGGTGGTGTTTAGTAATGGAAAGGCGTGCATATGAGCTTGGAGCCCGCTTTGTGTACAGTCCAAGGCAATCAAACCGATTGCTTCAACAGCACACATGGAAAACCGTGGTCAGCGTTGACCAATCTCATACGGCTGGAGTTGTCGGGGAGCATCACCCTCGACACAGTAAAGAGGCTATACAATCGGTGGGCAAGCAGCGCAGTAGTGTGGAACAGTCCTGGCCCTTCAGGTGAACGACATACGTCAGCTTAGCGCCTGTGATAAATGGTGTTAGTAGATGATAACGAGTTGTGGTGGCTGAAACACGATTGCAGCGACAATGATGGGCGTACCGTCGTATGCCGTACAGACGTTACTTCCAAAGGGCACATTTCACTCCGTCAAATGAGATGGTTTGGTCCCGCCCTACACACGCAGTGTGTTGCGTCTTTTCACTTCAATAGGATTCAAATCAAAATGAGGTCATTCTCAACAGGCTCAGAAAACAGCGACATAATGCAAAAGCTTGTTGGAAAAGAAACTACCGGAATGATATAGGCAGTATGAAGATTAACGGATACATATTGGTCTACACAACAATGCTCATGTTTTTGCTGCCAAAGTAATTAGTCCAGCGTTGCCCCGACTCATGGATGGGGAAAGTGCACGTATCACGCGACAGATCTGTGGATGTTCCTAGTGACTTGGCGCATTCGATTCACAATATTAAGTATTCGTTGCCCAAGGTAATCAGTGGGATTTCCAGAGAAACTTTACTTCCTCTAGGACACCATACGAGTAAACATCAAGTCGCACTTCGTCAGTTCGCACATGACTGTACGGGGAACCGCGCGATGATCAACTTAGGACATGGAAGTAAAATGTTAAAGCGCTGATTTCCGATTTGGCTAGCTTTGGTTCTCCTCGTCATTCGAGCTGAGCGTTCTATGATGATAAATACTGCTGGCTAGAAACAGTTGATGAAATGGTGCAAAAGTGGGCTCAATAAGCTATCCGCATGAAATCACATTTCAACATAACCGTTCAACAGCACAGTAATTAAGCTGGCAAAAGTTACTCTATGGTTTTTTATACTTCTACTTATGAACTGTTTCTGTGGACGCAAAGTGCGGGCGACAATAACTCAGTGGATGCACATGGTGATTACCAGTGCAAAAAAGCATGCCGCCAACACCAAAAAAAGCACGTACCTCTTTTTTCTGTTGAGGCCGAGGAGACCGCCAAAAAAGTGGGAATACGAAATCCATTCCTGTACTTTGAAAATAAAATCACTGCAGTCACAGATCCCAATAAAACACTGGTGGAAAAAGCTGAAACAGCTTGCAGTCCTTGGAAGAACAGGGAAGCGAAGTTGGCAGCAGCCGCGGAAAACATTTCTGGGGCGAAAAATCACAAGCGAACTGCCTGTGAATGAAAGCAGATACGTGGAAAAACACGAGGCAAACAGATCTGAGTAAGAGGAGAAATCCTTTCCAAGTGCTAAAATGAAAAAGGCAATGGTAAGATAAAAACAAGTTCAAGGACGCGGACGAACTGGATAAAAAGGAGGCCCACAGACTATTGCGCTAGCGTGCACAAGTAGAAAGAAAATGAGACGATGAAGATTTGCACAGTAACGATAAAAGGAAGAGATAAATGTAAAAAGACGCAACCCTTTAAAATGTCTTGCCAGTGTGACCCTCCGTATCCCAACTGCATCCGTTATTAGCTTGAAATAAAACGGTGTCATTCTTAAGAACTAATTTAGCACAGGACTGTGGAGACAGTGTTTGAAGAAGGCCGCGCGTAAATTTTCGTCCACCGATCCACTCTCAATTACGTCAGCTAATCCGCTGGGTCGAACTTTCATAGGAGCAGTTCAGCAGGTCGGATGCCGCACTATCGTCCGCTGAGTCACCCTAACACAAGTGGAAGGTCGAAGTCACACCTTCAACTTTAAATAGATTCAACATGAACTCGCCGCGTTGAAAAGATACATGGCTCCTGCGCCAGACGACCTTCTATTACGTTGTACAAAGATGAAGGCTAGGTATAACCGGTATATTCGCTCCACTCAACGCCACTTAAGAGACAGAATAGGTGCTACTAAACTGGCGGCTGCTAACCGTCAATGTCATACTAGAAGATTGTGCTTATGCGAAAATTCTGGAGACATAAGCCATATATTTGCAGTTCCTAGACACCCTACTGTCGTAATCTTGCGACGATGAGCAGCAAAAGCCAATTCATTGAAAACCAGATTGACCTTCGCATTGGGCGAGCTTCCAATGACTAGTTCAACAGGCCGCTGTCAGGAGGTTTGTCGCTGAATGACTGGAACTGTTCGGTGGTAAGGACGATTCCGAAAAGCGGTGACCCCAGCAAAGTAGACAAGTATAGGCCAATTTGACTGACACAATTCTGCCAAGGATGCTGTAATGGATTTGCGCAGATCTGGTCGCGTTACCTTAGCTAAAAGTTACGCGTGACCTGAGCACGGTCCCTATTCACGCACGTATTCGGGTAACTCACATAGTCCTCGAAACCAGACAACGATGCGCATACGGCCGGGGGACTAGACGCAGGAGACTTAGATGCACACGCAGCAACCGGATAAAACGACGCACACGACCAAACGAGTCCTAATCAGTCTACAAGAGAGAGAAGACAAGAAGAAGCGGATCTCTGAGCTCTTTTACGACCCACAAAGGCCGAATCACAGTTGGCACAATGGTCCATATTGTAAGTGAAATTAATCACCACGTAGGGCGCATGGTTCACGAAAGAACATTCTCACTTTAGCCTACTTGCGCCCCGAGTTGGACTGGCTGGATCCTACTACGTTGAACTCAGCGTGGCGCAACCCACGCACTGGAGTTTGTGGAGCAATCTGCTGGGTTACTTGAAGTTCCCTTAACAGTTGTCGAAAAGATTGCGAAGAACATTTTGCTGAAGGTGTTCCGGTCAAAAGATCTCTAGACGCTCGCACAAAACGATTCCATGCCAGGTCGCTCATGCATTACCAACTTGTTTGTGACGACGCATGTATGGTTGCAGGCATTGAACCAGGGGAGGTCGGTCGACATGATCTATCGATTTAAGCATAGTGTTTGACAAGATAAACCACGCGGTTCTCTTTGACAAGCTGAGTGTGTGGCATTAGCGGCTCAATGCACCGTTGAATTCGAAAGTTTCTCGTCGATAGCAATCTAAACGGTTGGTATCTTTCGATCAGTGGTGCAACTCGAGGCACTGTGCTTGAGTCTACATTGTTCCTGATTTATATCAGCCATCTACCAGAGTTTCTTCTATCGCCGTGTGCTCAATTTGCAGCCAATTTGATGATATGGAGCGTGATTAGCACTTCCAACGACTGCGGCCTACTTCAACAAGAACGACAGTTTTTCCATGTGGCCTTCAGAAGTCCGTCTCCCAGTCAAGCCGTTCAACTCAATATTCATGAGACTGGGTAAGAGCGGTGATGACCACACCTACACGCGTGACGCCCAAATGCTACGTCGCACACTTCCAGTGAAAGAGGTTGCGATTTAAAGCCCGTAGACAACACGAAGAAGCTACACGGAAACGGAATGCGAATGATCTGAGCGCTCAAATGCAGCTTCTGAACCTGGTCGGAAGAGGTTGCCACTCGCCTCTTATTCATCAGAAGACCAATGTCTGAGCATGGAACGACAGCCTAATGTCCGACCAGTCGATGCGACAAGCAGTAAATGGAACTGGTCCAATACATTGATACTAGGCTCATCCCCAGTTTACGGGGTTTACCATAAGAATACAGGTGCGAGAGGTTGGGACTTTACACGCTGCCCTATCGTCGGGTGCGAGTCGACCACATAATGATCATGAACATCACTAGGTAAGTTCCCCAAGCCGAGGCCAATGCCCCACTTGCGAAAACCCTGCAACACACGCGGACACCAGTACAAGGTAATGGTGCCAGAGTTGAGAAGAGTCCCTCATCCCCTGTGGTCAATGTTTGGAACAGTTCGCCGGAGCATATAGTGGAAACAAACTCAGTGCAGCAGTTCGAAACTGTTGGATGTGTATTGTTTCACTGGTAAATTCCGAAAACGATTACCCACTGGCAATGATATATTACATTCATAAGTCCCAATTTACCGTAGGTCATAGGTGTTTCTTGCGATAGCATGTGAGAAATTGATAAACGATCAAGGCGTTTCGAAATCATAGATTTTTTTGTTTTTCATAAGTTTCTGATCATATTTTGACGGAGTTGTGCAGATGGAAATTTCTACTTGCTTCTATAATAGTTGGAGGAATCCGGTTTCGAAGATGTCTGTCACTACGGCCTCCATACGACAGTAACAGGACAATTGTGCCTACAGAGGGGTCAAGAGTGACTTGCGCTGCACCACACACCCCAAATCTAGTGTAAACCAGGAATAAGATCGGGAGGCATGTGGATGAGAGCCACGTTACCTCAACGGGACCGGCCCACACCCATACAACATGCACAGCAGCAAAATTTCTATTAGTTTAATAGGGGAATCACGTGTACCAGACATACACAAGGCAGTAGCTAGGCTGTAGCCAGCTCCACACGGAATAGAACCAATCTCTGAATCAAGGACCGCCACAAGGACCATGCACCCTGTCGTCACCATCATTACACACGTTAGCTACAGGTGAAAAACATCTCAGCTATTGCGCCGGAAAATACAGCAGAGGCACGCCGGCTGAGTCCCCAATAACGGATGGACATCGTTCCGGAGACCTAACAGCCAGCTATCGTGGCGCAAAGAGAATTACATTTTGCGTAGCGAATCAGATCGTGATTAAAGTGGGAGGCGAAGCATGAGATGGATGGACAAAGGAACTCACAACACAAATACCATTGAGGCCGGCTCTTCGCTATATCAGCAAGCTTCCATCCAAACGCGTTCATCGTCCTTGAAACTCCAGCCAGACAGTCGAGATGCACCAACCGACGCCAACTTCGAAGTGAGGGTCTCATTTCTCTCAACAAAGTCATCGCTTGGCCTCCCCTCCTCTTCTTCCAACCGCACCCCCGGCGCGCAAACAATGCATGTCGCGGGAGTCGGTGTGCTGGTATGCGCAACATGTGGCCAAGCCATCGGAGCCTGGTGCGTGATGTAATGGTGCTGAGCGGTTCATTAGCTCATCCTGCACCAAATATTCGACGCCGAATACGCTCATTGCTCACGCGGTGTTCCCACCAGACATGAGTTAAGATCCGGAGGCAGCGATGATGAAGCGTGGCTAGCCTCTATGTTTGTCGGCCTGATGGGCCAGGTTTCACAACTATATAGGAGGGTTGAAAGGACAAATGCATTATACACTCTGCCCTTCAGGGCGAGAGTGATGTCGTGTCTGCGCCACAGGTGGCGCAGATTGGCAAAAGCACCTCGAGCTTTTACTATAAGGTTCGTAACGTCAGCTTTGATCCCATGGGCGCTAATTTAGCTGCTAAGGTACTTGAATTCCTGAACGAGTTCTAGCTGATCACCATCAAGGGTCAGCGCAGGGGTGGGTCCTTGCCAATCTTGGTGAAGTTTGCATTTCGATGGCGCAAAGTATACCCCAAAAACGATTCACAGCCAGTGCTAATCGGTCCAGTGCAGCGTGGCAAGTTTGGGCGCTGTCACATATGAGGACAATGTCGTCCGCATACTCCAAGAAGTCGCTCACCAGGAAGTAGCCCCACACCTTCTAGGTCGTGTCCAGCGAACGCTGTTTCCATAACTTCCTCATTGCGAAGTTAAAAAGGTGAAAGCGGGCAACCTTCTCACACCGCTGGTGATACTTAAGAGTGGCGACAGTTTGCCATAAACCTTCACTCTGTCCGAACTACGCGCGTACAGCGCTTTGATAATGTTTACACACTTATCGGGCACACCTAGTGTCAGCAGACGGTCCCAAAGGGCACATCGACCCACCGAATCGAATGCACCTTTGATGTCGAGACACAATGGTAGGTCCCAATAAACATGGCGGTGCTCCAACAATTGACGCAAGGTGAAGATGTGGTCGATGCAGCCTCGATTTCGACGAAACCCGGCTTGCTCTTCGCGGATCTGGCCTTCACGAGCGCCAGTCAGTCTGTGGAGAACGACAGAGGCAAGCAATTTAGAGGCAATTGAGATCAGACTGATCCTCTATGGTTGCCGCATTCCGAACGGGAGCCTCCCTTGAAAATTGGGACTATGACGGAGCGGCTCCAGTCTGTCGGACAGTTTCCTGCTCCCAAAGTTCCACTAGCAACTCGTGTAAATCATCTACAAGAGCAGGTCCCCCGAATTTGTAGAGAGCTGGGGGAATTCTATCTGCACCAGCGGCCTTATGCAATTTCAACAGTCTGATCTCACGTTCGACTTCTGCGCGTGAGGGCGGAT